GGAAGGAAGGAAGGAAGGAAGGAAGGAAGGAAGGAAGGAAGGAAGAGGGAGGGAGGGAGGGGAAGGGGGAAGGAAGGTGAGAAAGAGAGAGAGGGAGGGAGGAATGAAGGAAGGGAAGGGGAAAGGGAAAGAAAAAGAAAATTAGAAAGGAGGAAGGGGGAAAGGGAGGGAGGGAGGAAAAGAGAAAAAAGAGGAGAAGGAAAAAGGAAAGGAAAACCCAAAGAAGGAGAAGGAAGAGAGGGAGAGAGAGAGAGAGAGAGGAAAGGAGAAAGCAAGAATTTTGAAACAAACCAACCTGGGTGAATTTCAAAAGAACCGTTTTGGCACAGAGTACCAAAATCGGCCACGTTACACACACCTTCCTCCCCTTGATTATTATATTACTGTAACCCCCCATCCCGCTTCTCCCGGCGTTCCACGCTTGCTTCAGTTCACTTTGCCCATTGCGGTGCAGACGGGTCACCTCCAGGCCCCCCACAACATCCAAGCTCCCTGCCTGCCCAACTTTGCAACCTCCTCCCGTTGCTGTGGGTCTGGGGCCCCCGAGGTGCCCCACTCCCAGGGTTCAATTCTCTTCTTGCCTTTTTTTTTTTTTTCAGAATAACAGTGCAAGAGTCAGAAAATCTGCTACAGTAATGTTCATATTGCAGCAAGCCTTTCCCCATTCCTTTTTAGGAGCCGAGGGGAGCCTTTTCCTGGGTTTTTCTCCCAGATCTGGGGTTGGGGAGACTCCATCTCAACTCCGTCTCAAAGTAGCATTACGGGAGGGTGACACTCATTCCCAAATCTCCAAGAAGTCGGTGTGTATTTTGCACTGATGGTGCCCCCAAAGCAGCCCCCGATTCCCATCAGAATCAGGAGAGGTTTGGTCAGCAAAGAATTTAAAAAAAGATCCTTTGTTGAAAGACTGGAAACCTTATATGGACTTTTTGTTGAAAGAAGAAAAAAGAATCAAACGGATGATCTGGGGATTAAAAAGGGCCGAAGAGGTTGGAGAAACATTTCAGATGATCATGATTGGACAGAAAGACGGGCGGAGGGCATCATTGTATGTTTTCCCTTTTCTATTTCTCATTTCCTGCCTTTGTTCTTGTTTGTTTTATGACACTGAAAAATTCTAATGAGAGAGAGAGAGAGAGAGGAAGGAAGGAAGGAAGGAAGGAAGGAAGGAA